ATACTCTGCTTTTCAGTAACATGATTCCCGTTCTTTTAAAGCAATTGTTATATCACTGGAATAGGAACCAAATAATCCATTTATTAAAAATTGCTCTGCAGGATAAATTCAGAAACCCAAACCACCCACCCAGGAAGAAAACCCACTTCTTTCCTTTNTATACATACTTCATTTATATTTTTATAAAAATGAAATCATACTCTGCTTTTCAGTAACATGATTCCCGTTCTTTTAAAGCAATTGTTATATCACTGGAATAGGAACCAAATAATCCATTTATTAAAAATTGCTCTGCAGGATAAATTCAGAAACCCGAACCACCCACCCAGGAAGAAAACCCACTTCTTTCCTTTCTGAGTTCTGATCCACTTTATCTCCCACCGGCTATCCTCCCACCTCTACCCACAGGAGGATTTTCTTGGGAGAGCCTCTGAAGGAAGCTTTATCTAGTCAGCTACACATAGTTAACATTTTAAGTTATCTTCTTTTCAAACCTTTTCAGCCAATTTTTGGGCATTTTTATTTTTTATTTTTTTGCTCAAGGTAAAGCATTGAGAGTGGAGTTTGGAGAATTTGGAGCAATATGGGAAAATAAATATGATGGGATTCTTTCTCAGAATTGTAGGTAAGGGGGAGGTACCTGAATAAAAATGTGTTTAGAGTTGAGTAATATATATTCAAGTTTAAAACTTTTCCTTTCCAAGGAAAATGGCCCCACTTTTAAACTCCATTTTGCCTTTTGTATATTACCTCAAACTTTCCAGCAATTTTATTATACCTACTGCTAATGTGCAAACATATTTGACTATTAAATTATTCCCATTTTCAAATATACAATATTTTTGTCCTCACTCTTAATGCCTCATAGTCTGTGAAAAATTATATATAAACGACTCAGGCCACAGATTAAGTTTATATTAGATATTTAAAACAATGGTGGGAATATATTTTAAAATGTAGCATTAAATACCTAAGAATGTATGTAATAGTAACCTGTGCAACTACAGAATTTTTTGAAATATCATTTTTATTCCTTTTAAAGTCAAGCATTGAGTGTAGGAATTTGGAAAATATCAATAAGCCAAAAAAAACCAAACCCCAAAATACACAAACCCCAGAATACAATCCCACCACTATTAATATTTCATTAGTTTACTAATCTAACTTGCCTTTCTCTTAATCTATAGTGGGTTCTATTTATAATGGTCGTATAAAGTGCCAGCGCTCTTATTCCGGCTTTGGCCCTGTTCATTTCAGTTGAAATTTTGAACCTGTTCCATGCATGGATGGACTTATTCCTATTTTAAAGTCAAAGTCTTATTCACCCTGTTTATAAACCACAGTAGATTCTGACTTCCCTTGGATCTCTACAGACATCTGGCCTGTCATGGGTATTTAGGGAAAGGTATGAGTAAACTAGTTTTTTAAGTTTATTTTAGTCACCCGAGTAAAACAAAATAAGAATAATATTAAAAAATGGAATATACAGAAACTTTATAAAGGAATAAAAGTCAACCATACTCATTAGCATTTTGGTCAATCACCTTCAAGCCCATGAAAGAGATATTTTTCTGCCTATTTATTTTTTACATAATATGTGCACAATTCTTGTATTTGACTTTCTTTAAGAGAAGTATTTTGCCATTTTAAGTCAATTTTTAATATTTTAATATATTGCTGAAGTAATATACTGCAGCTAATGCCAGTGTCTGTCTTTCCCAGCTCCTCCACCTGAGTTCTGCAGGCTAGGTTCTTCCTAGATGCTGACCATCCTGACCTGGACACTTTATAATATTCACTGTTATCATTGCTCTCATTTCTTTTTTTATAAACCTCACCCCAGGAGTAAGGATATTTTTTCCGTTGATTATAGAGAGTGGGAGGGAAGGGGATAGAGAGGGGAGGAGAAAGAGAAACAATATGACAGAGACACATCGATTGGTTGCCTCCCACAAACTCCCTGAGCAGGGGCAGGGATCGGATCTGCAATCCAGTATGTGCCCTTGACCAGGAACTGATCCTTCAACCCTCTGAGCCATGCTGGCCAGGGCTTTGCTGTCATTTCTTGAACCTGTGTTGTTTCTCTGTACTTTATATTGGCAGCTTACCCGAACGGGTTTGCCTTCACCATGTCCTAGAGCACTATTATTGGACCACTGTCCCTTTCTCCTCATAGCTGAATTCATTTTCTCAGCCCCAGTGCTGACTCATCTCCACATTTCCTCTATTCTGTTAGCCTGTTTTGCAAAGGTTTGCTCGCATCTAACTTAGCCTGCCTAATTTTATCAGTAAAAGGCTTTATGCAATTAGCTGACTCTAGTCCAGTGTTTTCTTTCCTTTGAGCAAAAGCTCATTGAAAACAGAGATGAAAAGCAGGACCACAGGGGAGATTTTCTTCTCTCCTTGATTAGTTGTGTGTGTTTCGTGGTGCACATGGGAAAAGTATTCTCATTTAGATCATTTTCTTCTCTTCTATCTGATGCAAATGATTAGATATTTCAAACAGGGAATTGTGGGTTTTTAAAGTGTGAACACCCTTAATGGTCTAAACTGCTATAAACAGATCCTAGGATAATTATGCTTTTAGCTTGTACGCTCCAGGGTCTTGTTATGTAATTGATTATTACTTGGATCAGTGGTAGACCTTCTTGATAGACAAATCAAACTTTAAAATTCTTCAGATTCATGAAGATGGAAATAAAATTGATATATTTTCTTTATATTAAATTTTAGACTTTTAAGTGTTATACTTTTTTAAAAACTAACATAGTATGGAAGTAAATATCATTGTCACATAATGGAGTTTATTGGTTTCAGCAGAATGAGTCTGGTTTTACTGGGCCTTCAGGGAAGCGATCTTAACATATATTAATCACTAATTTTGTGCCAATGAGCCCAAATCAGCCTGTTACTCCATCTACCCTTCATTCCTAAGCCTGTCCCTCAGGGCATGCTGAACGCCTCTGACTCTTTTCCACACAACTGTCCTTTAGGTATTTGGATTCATTGCCCCCTTAGTGTATGCTTTCATTCTTTCTACCAGACAGTGGCCTTTTATTTATTTATTTATTTATTTATTTATTTTTTATTTAATCCTCCCTGAGGGTATTTTTTCCGTTGATTTTTTTTAGAGAGAGTGGAAGGAAGGGAGGGGGAGAGAGAGGCTGAAAGGGGGAGCGAGACGGAGGGAGAGAAAGAGCAACATCGATGTGAGAGAGACATATCGATTGGTTGCCTCCCACGTGCACCCGACGAGGGCAGGGGATCAAACCTGCAACCCAGGTATGTGCCCTTTGCCAGGAATTGAACCTGTAACCCTTCAGTGGGTGGGCCAATGCTCTAACCACTGAGCCACACCAGCCAGGGCCAGACAGTTACCTTTTAAAGGTCAGGGACTATTTGATTTGTCCTTGTATTCCCCCATACCTCTCATAGTTCTTGGTACCTAGTAGGGGCTCAAGTATTTATCTACTGAATGGGACTGTTGTTCATGTGAGTCTCTAACTCTCCTGGCCTCTTCCCCAGTAAACATACTCCAGTGTGTCTGTCCCTTTGAAGCTATGTTCCTGATACGTTCTGTCTTCCTACTTTGGAAAAAATATACCTGCACAAGAACACAATTTTATGTCATTTAAAAGTGGTAAAATATCAAAACTTACCTAATTTTGTTATCATTGAACATGCCCAAGTTTTCTGTTACCAGATATTTATAACTGGAAACTGCATTACTTATTTTGTTGCTCAGAATGTTCCATCTTTTGCCCTTAGGGGCTCTTTCAGTGACCTGTAGCCCTTTGATATGTTCCTAGCAGTTTGTGTTTTGAGTACCTCCCTGCTTTCTGGCACTATAGGGTGGATGTTGTAGTTTCATCTTATATATTCTGTTCCAGCCCTAAAATCAGCCACTTCAGCAATCCTTTTATTTGAAAATGGTATTAGAAACCAGGATTTGCTCTGATGTGTGCTTTGTTACTGAGTGTCATTGATTTTAGGCCCTATCAATGACCGGAGCTAGGAAATAAATGTATGTATATTAACCTGTGTGTACATACATATCTGTATTATTTCTACTTTTACTTATCAGTTTCTGTATTAAGCTAAACAGGAATTCCCACTGATAGCTGAGACACTAATACAGAGCTACCATGGTTCATTCTAGCCTTTCCCCCTTACATATCTGTGATCTCCCCCATTCTAACAGTGAGAAACCATTCACCATATTTTTACTTATTTTTTCAGTGCCAGTGTATACGTGTAGCAGTATCAGAACTTCTAGCCAGTACTTCTATGAGAGGCAGCATTACCATCCACAGTCCTCACATACAGTTCCTTTTTGTCTTAGTTTCCAGTCATGTCCAAAGTTACTGAGGTCCCTTCCTCCCCATCTCCTTCAGTGAGGTTATGTCATACACTTATAATACAATTAAATTCTTTTTTCATAGTCTCCATTCCATTGTGGGATTCCTCCACCCACCTAGTTGATGTTTTTAAATTTTAAAATATTACATTAAGACTTCTTCTTTGTGCTATAAAGTTCCATGGGATTTGAAAAATGAATAACATCATGTATCCATCACTGTAGTGCTAGACAAAATAGTTTTATGGCCCTAAAAATTGTCTTACATGTTAAAAACATAACTGGTTTATATCCCATGAGAAATATATGCTATATATATATATATATATTTTTTTTTTTTTTTCA